AGGTCATTGGTCCAAGCACATTCAAGCTGGAACACCTATCAGGCAAGAAGGTCAAAAGGACGTGGAATGCACAGAATTTGCGCAAATATGAGGCGCCTGAAACGAAGACAAGAACCATGCAAGGAGCAGAGGAACAGGCGCCTGAAGATGAGTAGACATGCAAGACTAGTACATTTTATGGCGGAGTTGTGTTTTTCTTGTGTGTTACGTTTTCCAAAGCGCCCAGTTTTGCGCCCGCCTTATCCCGTAAAGCGCCCTACTCGCGCCCTCTCCATGTAAAGCGCCCCAATTTTGCGCCCAAACTTTTTGGAATCGGATTAATTATTATACGTGAAAGCGGAATATCTAAAGAAGTAGTAACATAGCGCCCACCTCATTGCGCCCAATATAGCGCCCATACCATTTGCGCCCATACCGTGTTCTAAGTAATTCTGAGTAAAAGCGCCCCAAAATAGCGCCCGGCAAATCTAAGTATAACAAAGCGCCATGTTTCGCGCCCACCTTTTAAAAGCGCCCAAGCATTGCGCCCTCACAAGAAACGCGAAGATTGAAATATAAAGTGCAAGTTAAAATGGAAGCAAGGCCGATTGGCAAGGAAAAATTCTTATATAGCAAGGAACACAAGGACGGCATTACAAGATAAGAGAAAGTAAACGCCCAATGACCGCTAGTCTATTCAGCGCCTGAATTTGCATCCCCAGCACTGGGCGCCCTTGGAAAAGGAGAGGGGGGAGCAGATTGCTCGGGCGCCCCGCTTGTCCCGCGAGGCGTCTCCATCCCACCGATCACATACTCCGCCATCTCGGAGAGATCCCAAGTAAGGTCGGGGTGGTCCTTCTGCAGCTTCCCCCGCAAGATTTCAATGCCAGTCAGGATGGCATTAGCGCACATGGACTTCCCAGTCTCGGACTCCATCAAGTTGTCCAAAGATTGCCGAAGTTCGGAAATTTCTTTCCGGGCCTTCTTCAACGATTTCTCGCTGTCCTTATGGGCGTCCTTCAGCCTCTTCTTCTCCTCCTTGAGGATGTCGATTTCACTGGCCTGGGCGCCAGCTTCCTGCACCAGCGCATCCTTCTCGGCCTGCAGGGTGGCCAGTTTATTGCGCTCCTCGTCCAAGGCGCCTTGCAGACGCGACAACTCCATGGTCGCCGTCATCTGGGCGTCTTCACACTCTTTCGCAAACTGCTCGCGGCGTGCAGTTGCGTTATCTAAGTCCAACTTCAGCTGAGCAGCCGAAGAGGAAGCCTCGAGCGCCTCCCTTTTAGTCTCATTGAGGCGTCGGGCGCCCCTTTCAGCAAAAAGAAGGATCTGCAAACATTGGAAAAGGGTCAGAAAGTGGTGCAAAGTAATAAGTAAGAAGGATCTGAAAATACAAGTACAAAGTGACATACCTTAGCGCCCACTTGGGCAAGTTCAGCAAAATGGTGATCACTAGTCACCTCGGACGGTATTTGCCAGGACTTGGCGGCCGCGATTGCCAAGCCCATGGCGCACCCTCGGTCCACGGCGACCAGGGGGGAGCAGTTCATATTCACCCGTCCCACCTCGGTGCGCCTTGGCCGGAAGATGGGGGGGCGCCCATCGGCGCCAACGTAGCGCCCCTCCTCATTCAAGTGAATGCGGGCGTCCTCCACAGTCTCCGCCTCCACTTCCACCTCGTCGAAGGCGTCCTCCTCGCAGGCGTCCTCTTCGCCCACCTTCTTCTTTCCTCGGGCAGCTCTCTTGCTGGCCGAGGTTAGGGGGGAGCCCGCCCTCTTCCCCTTTCGGAGCAAAGGCTCCTCTTCTTCCTCCTCTTCAGCGGAGTTAACTTCCTTCTCCGCGGGGTCGGCATCAGGCGTCCCCTCGCCTTCTTCCGGGGCGGACGACGCCACACTCGCCGTGTGCGCCTGAGCGGTTCCACCTTTCACCGCCCTCTTCTTCACCTTCCTCTTCTTGGGGACGGCAGAAGGCGCCTCTGGTTGAAGAGGCGCCTCTGGCCGAGCCGGCGCCTCTTTCGGGGAAGATGCTGCAGCAGCCGCCTCCGCAGCCATTGCCGCCAGCCTGCTCTTCATGAGCTTGGCAATGCTCGAGTAGTCCGCCCCTGCATATGACAAAAGTAAGTTAGTACATAACGCAAACAAATGGATAAGGAAGCAGAACACCTAGACGCCTACACACCATTGTTATAATAAGCTTCAATAATGGGAGGACGATTCTCGGCGGGGCGTAAGTCAACAGGCTCCCCCTCGCAAATTAAGGAGGCGCCTGCTTTCTCAGACGCCGTCAAAACCACCGGCTTATTGAAGTCGTCAACATGGCCTAACCCCCATTTCCTCATAAAGGCGCCCCCACTGGCAAAGAAGGAGTCTTGATATGCCTTCACGAAGAAGAACCCGTTGAACCAACTTCGGTTCAACTTAGGGCATTTCTGAACAAAGTGATGGGGGCAGCTTTTCTTCTTGCGCTTCTGGAGGGATAAGCAGTTGTCCAGAGCCACCATCTTGAAGAAGTATCGGAACAAGTTGAAGGTGGGCTCCACGTTGTGCTCTCGGCACCTCAACTTGAAGAGGATGACAACCGTGATGACCGAAGGGGATAGGCGCCCGAGAGGACAGGCGCACGTCGTCAAAATTCCCTCCATGATCGAGTCCAGGGGAAACTGAAGCCCGAAGCGAAAGTACTCCTGGTAGAGCCCGATCCACTTGGGACCACAGACGCCCACCCGGGACAGAGGCGATGGAGGCGCATACCACCAGTCTCTGGGAAGCTGGAGACTAGTCACCAGTTCATGAACCTGGTCCAGGGTGATGGTCGACGTGTGGTTGGGCCCAGCCACCTCGAAAGACAAGTGCGACGTCTCGGAGGGCAAATGATCAGGTGGGAAGCACTTCTCCCACGTCGTGATCTTGTATGACCCGTCGGCGGGCAAGAAGCCAGGCGCCGACGAACTTGACGGCCCAGCTGACGAGGAAGCAGACGCCCGCTCTAAACCAACAAATGACCCAGACGCAACGTGGACAAGGGGTAAGTGACGCCCCTACCCTAAGTGGCTAGAGGAAAAGAACTCAACGAAATCAACGAAAGGAAAAGACTGCTTACCACGTTGAACTGGGCGCCTTGCTTCACCACCGTCGCCAGAGGCGCCTGCGCCCGAGGCGCCGGGTGCAGAAGTCTTGTCTTGTTGTGGAGACGACATTTTTTGGACGAGAATCAAGTGTTGGCCGAGAAAAACAAAGAGGAAAGAGGACAGAGGTCAGAGCGGAAGATTCTAGAGAGAAGTCAGAGCGAGATTCTAGAGAGATGACAAATAGAAGAAAGTGACAGCATCACAAAGGGGGGGGGGTATTTAAAGAGAAACGAAGGCTCACCCATCGCATGACACGTGTCAGTCATGCCGAAGGAAACCCTTCAGCTCTCCCACCTTTTGGTCTTTTCGCGCGTCACCAAAACACAGGCGGACCTTTGAGCTTCCCCCACACTCTCCTTTTCGGGGAAATTTCTCAACTCCTAAATTTTGAATTTCGAATTTCGAATTTCAAAATTTTCTGTTATCCAAATTTCCCCCACAAGCACAGTGTGGGTGAGGGGGGCATAAGGGATAAGGACACTCGTCAAGAATGACACCATGAAGCGCCCGAAAAGGAGGGCTAATCAAAAAGGCGCCCTGATTGGGTAAAGGCGCCTTTGCAGGCAAGGGTCACAGAAGCACCTAGAGGAATATTCGATAAGGGACGCGGACAAAGGCGGGACGCCTGATCGCGGAGGAAGAAAGGCAAACGCACCTTGTAGGAACAAGAAACAAATGAGAACACGATGCAGGCGCCGAGTGACAGGCGCCCTGAAACTAAGCAGAAGGCTGTGCTACGACTAGAGACTCAGTCAGGCGCTCGTTGGCGAAGCCACGAGCACCTAACTGGGGGGGCAATTGTTGGGGGTATTACCCAGCGAGCTAGGGGACAAAGCCCAAAAGAATAAAGTACCAAGAGCCAGGTGGCGGCCAACCGGCTGGTGGACCACGGCCAGGGGCGCCTGTCAGGTGTCAGGAGCCTGACAGGGCGGTTAGCTGTCACATAGAGCATCAAAAGCCAGGTGGCAATCAACTGGATGGTGGACCACGGCCTGCGGGCGCCTGTCGTGTGTCAGGAGCCTGGCAGGGCTGTGGAAGGCCAGTCAGGTGTCAGGAATCTGTCAGGGCGGTTAGCTGTCTAGGGGCGCAGAGCATTAAATGGGGGAAGTGGCGTGGCGGAGATCAACCTCGGGTTCGGTGAGTATAAATAGGGGCAGACGATAGCATTTACGCAGGTTGGCTTCTCTCACTAAACTACTCCCAAATATTTATCTCTCTAGATAGGGGCGCTAACTTGAGCTTCGGAGTGCTAACGGGCCAACAAAGGCCCTTAGGCGCTTGTGGGTGTAGGTTCCAGGCGCCCGGGCGGCAGAAGAGTGGAAAGGTGAAGGATTATTGTTCGGGGGTATCGAGGCCCAAACAGTTTGGTAACTGTGATTGTTAACATTCAATTAAAATAAAAAATTATTTTATATTAAATAACATGTTTATCCTTAATAAAAAAATTAGAGTGGTTTAAAAAATATTAAAAACTTTGTTGATAAATATATTTCATTTGATAAATAAATAAAAGTAAGAGAAAAACTAGGAGAAAAAAAAATCTTACGAATCAAGATTTAGAATCTCTCTGATTAGGAGAGATTTAATATCCACAGATTTTAGAGATTTGAAATCTCTAAAGCTAGAATCTACAATATAAAAAGCAACAAAAAAACATAACTTTCTACAAAATCTATGGATTCAGTGAATCCATGTCCTGAATACTGTTCTCCAAACGACCCCTAAACTTACTTCGACTATATTGCATTCCCGTCATTGGTTGTGCTTGATCATTGATTTGGAGTTGTAAGTTTTTAGTAAGGATTTCCTCACACGTGGGAGTTATGCGAAGTGGAGTGTACCACTAAGAAAAGTGGAGAAATTACGTTACAAATTTCACTCAATTTGTTACTTATGGGACAACAGCGCATTGCAGGTCCTTTTCATTTCTATAGACTATAGAGTCTTATTCGAGAGTAGTTGAAGATCAAAACGGAACCTTCCAAATCACCAGTTCACCACCGTCTGCTGATAGCTCTCTCCAGTCAACCATCAATCAATCATGTCTTCCACATCCAACCTCGGGTGCGCCGTCGTCGCCGTCGACGGCAGCGAGGAGAGCATGTACGCCTTGCGGTGGGCGCTCGACAACGTCCACCTCCGATCTCCTCCCGCGGACTCCAGCGAATTGCCGGGATCATTCGTCGTCGTCCACGTCCAATCGCCGCCGTCTATCGCCGCAGGCCTCAATCCAGGCGCCATACCTTTCGGCGGTCCAAGTTAGTCTCCTGCTCCTTTACTCGTTCTACTTCCCTTATCGGTTGCGCCCGACCATCGCGTTTGATGGTCCTTAATCTGTTAAATTGCTCGAGTTCGAGCTCTAAGTCGGTTCCTCGAAACTGTTTGGAATCAGTCGATCTGGAGGTTCCCGCGTTCGCCGCAGCGATTGAGGCGCACCAGAAACGAATTACGCAGGCAATCTTGGATCACGCCCTGGAGATTTGTCGCCAAAAGAAGGTTTTGATTCCCACTTCATTTTTTCCAGGCTTCTAACTGCTGCCTTCATCGATGAGCTCTATCTCAAATTGGAACTGGAAATTTCTGTTCCAGGTTACTGTGAAATCGCAAGTGGTGATTGGAGATCCCAAAGACAAGATATGTGAAGTTGTGGAGAGTCTTAATGCGGATTTGCTGGTGATGGGCTCCCGAGACTTTGGTGCTATCAAAAGGTGCTCTACTTGAAAACTAAGCAGTTCATTATTGGTTGATGATGTTTGGTGATTGGGGATGCCATATACTGGTGTCCTTTTGAGCTCTAGATGTTGATGGGTTTCCTTGGGATAGATTCTGTTCTGTGGACGAAGAGTTGTAGAGATAATTTTCAAGGTCACAGGTTATGTAGAAGCTAATGTGTAAACAAGATTCAATGGTTTGGTAGAGACAGGCCTTCAAATGGTAGATTAGGGTAGATCATGTATGAAGTTATCTTAAATATGTGTTTATTTGTGAAAACATCTTAGCTTCACTAGGACTGCTGTGATCTTATCTTACACAAGAACACAAGTGATGTGCTAACATCTGGTGTTCGTCGACAGGATGTTCTTGGGGAGTGTAAGCAACTATTGTGCAAACCACGCACAATGTCCTGTCATTATAATCAAGGGAAAGGGCAAGGAGGAGGAAACTTCTTCATAGACAAATAAGGTATATCCATATTTCTGGGTCGTTACTTCTAGGCCATCAGGTTAATTTCATTGTCACAATGATACTCTAGGGTAGAAATATACTCTCTGCCACTTGTTTTTTCTGTTTATTAGTTCGAATGTATGACTTTGTTTACTTTCAACAACCATTCTGGCAATTCTTACCAATGGGTTATGTTTTCCAACCCCGATTTATCTGTTTGAGCTGAATCACCTTGCAACTGCTTTACATTCTTGACAAAGAAGCCTTTGTGAGTTGCTATTAATCAGATTAATATTTTAGCTCTCCTTCGATCTGACTTTTGCTTGTTTCCCGTAATTGTGACCGACTTGTTAAAAAAGGTTGAGTTGGGTCATCAATAAGCTGGGTATCTTTTGTCAACAGGTGAAGGGTTATAACTTATTAAGTATAGTAAATGTCATCAAACAGTGATCATTGTAGGAACTTGAGTGAGAAATCTGGACTTTCCTTGGGATGATTTATTAAGCATGACTGCCTGATAACAAATATGTGATTGCTTGCATCTATTTTCCATTTTGCTTAAAATACTAGAAATCGTAGGTTTTACAGACTCTGAAAATGCTAAACTAATCTGGTAACTATGTTTATTAGTACATTAGTTGAGAAATGACAGCTTGTTTTAGGATTCTGTCTCTGCAAAGGCCAAGCTGCACATCCCTCTTAACATGTGAATGCCCACCTCTCTTTATGCCATTTAGAACTTATTTTGTTAAAATCATTGACTGCATATTCGATTTTAGATATTATACTCGGTGAAGACAATTTAAAAGATTATGTATGTTGTTTTCAGTTCGACACTTTGACAGTCTGGCTTCTCATATGCAGCTTTATGTTCACTTGCAGTTCGTTTTTGTTATTTGCTATCATGCTATGAGTTCCAACTTATACATATGAACAATGTTTCTTTCTTGCAGAATCAGAATTACTTCCAATGCAATCCGCATGTGTTTCAGTAAGACTTGTTGTTGTGCTGTCTTCTCTTGTTTTGCGTGTAAATTTGCTATGGCGTTCATTGATATAAGTTGAAGCAAAATATCAAGAAAAGAAGTACGTGTACCAGGTTTGCATCATGTCGTCAAGTGTAATCGTCACTGTAGAGCCACGGTCACAGGTTGGATTGTAAGAGAGAAGTGTTTCCGACACCTCTGAAGCAGAATTCTTCGTCAGAGGTGTTTTGGGTGGGAGATGACACTTTTTATGGGACCTGTTTCTGATGAAATCTTTTGTTTTCTCAACGTCAATGACTGGCGGCGGCTTGAGATGTTGTAATGTTTGGTGATTTTGAAAAAGAACAAACTGTAGAATGACTTCAGTTGCTTTGCTTGTGTGTCCTGACAGACGTGGTAGAAGTTTGCTTGACATTTTGTGAATTCTTATGGAAAATGGATACTCGATCTTTCTCCGTTCAAACTTCAATCTTCTCAATTGCAGCGGTGGGAATTTTATGACGAGCTTGTTGTGATGGGACAATGTTGGGCTATCTAAGGCCCATCCATCCATGTCTTCGATGCGTCCAGTAGAATAAGGGAGGGAGGGGAGATTCGGTTCAAATCGAATCGAACCGATGATTATCGGTTCCCTGAAGTAGTTCACGGAGCAAACCGAATACAAACTGGAATATATCCCGATTCGATTCAATTTTAAGATCACACTCGAAGTTTCATAGATCAACTCTCTCCCTCCCATTTGGCCACTTACCCTATCTCCCCATTTACCATTACCGCGCAGAATAAATTCTTTCACTATCTTTCTTTCTTTCTCTGTCTCTTTCTCTCTCTTTAGAGCACAACGCAGCGGTGATTTCTCCTTCTGTCTCTGGACTCGACAACAATGGTGATTGACGGAGAGAACAACCCAGCGGTGACGGCGATTGACATCGATGATTGTGATGACTCCGACAATGAAGGTTAGTAAGGTTTAATATCCAAGTATGCATGAAACTTTTTGGTTTGTTTTCTCCTTCGCCTGTGCCTCTCTCATCGATTTCATGCTGCTTTTTTGTATTTGGTTGAAGCCTTAAAGGGAAGCGATGGCGTCAAGCAGATCTTGGATTGGGGGCGATGCCGCGATGGCATTGAAGCTGGCAGATCTTGAAAGAGCTCAAGGATTTGTGATCTCCACCCAATCCGCCAAGCCTTTTTTCCTCCCTTCGTCAGCTATTGTTGCAATCGCCGGTGGGTACTCGAACTCCGCCGTTGTTCTCCTCTTTTGCCGCCAAGAAACTCTATTCACCAATCACCACAAAACCGTCGCCAAGCCTTCAGGCTTCACAAACGATTGTTGTGAGGTTAGGGCTAGACTAGGATTTCAGTAGAGAAATGGGAAAATAGATGTAGCGGGCTTGGGGTTGTGTGGGCTTGGACATCGGGGTTGTGGGCTTAGGTTTTGTAATGTGAGTGTAAGTTTTGTTGGTCGGTTCGGAGTTCGGAAATTGGGTTCGGTTGGGCAGACCCTGGTTTTTGAAATATTGAATTTTGTCTTTCGAATTTCGAACCGACCAAGGATAATTTGGTTTCGGTTCGGTTTAGTTGATTTTTATTTTATAAAAAAGAAAAAATTACACTCTAGTTTATTTTGTTTTGCATAACTCAAACTCGAAGAAGTCATTACAATCATACAAACACGTGATACCGAAAAGAGGGAGCATCATGGGCATCAAAACGTCAAAGCGCAAAGCAAGCACCATCGAACAAGCACCTAGCAAAAAAAGAGGCCTCCACTCAACATAAAACCGGTTACAACAAAGTATCACTTCACAGGGGCATATGATAAAGATGATCTATAAGATATGTGTAGAGATAACCTAACTACCAAAGAGATGGAGCTAGCTCTGAGAATTATCTACATAGGAAAACATACAAAGATGGTTCCAGACCCTCCCAAGAAAATTAATAATAGCATTGATAATGAAGAGCCAAAGGTAAAGACCAGGAGCCTTAAGAAGACTTTCCAATATGAAATGCTGATGATCAGACCAACATTAAATCCAACAAAGGAAAGGAACACGATCCCACCAACATCCAAGAGATTGTGGAGGAGTTCATCAACAAAGAAAGATCATCAAGATCAATGGAAGAGAATTCAAGCCACACCCATCATGAGTGAAACTCAAGTTGGGAGAAGGAATCTTACAAAGAGTGCAACTTCGATCTTGGAGAAGAATTATCCTCTACATCATCATTAACAATGTCCTTAATTGACTTTGAATATCGATTAAAGCATTCAAGGTCCTCTTGAGTGAGTTCCTTAGAGTGATTTTGCCCTCAACTAAGACAACCAACTAAGGAAATTTGGCCTAGACCGTCTAATGGAATGTCATCCAATACAAAAGTAATGGGTAGACTCACTTTAGCGCATCAACCCATACTTCTAATCAATGAGTGCACTAATCAAGCTAATCCGATATTCTCTCTAGTAGGTCAAAGTAGAAATCACAATACTTGATCAAGGCAAAGATGATTCACAAAATATGCATCAATTGGTCGAGTTCCCTCTCTCTAGGGTTTGTTTCTTGGGTGTTTTGAAGTTCAAAACTCTAAGAAAACGTACTTATACCCGGGTAAAGGAGAAATTCAAAATCCTAAATCTCAAGTGGGTGAGAGTTCATGGTCGCGAAGAACCAAAACAAATCACAACACTTAAGATAGGGGAAAAGTCATGATTAGGAGGGGAAGGAAAGTCACGATCGTGACTTTGGGTAGGCTGGTCGTGAAAATGCTTAAGAACTCCTAAATTGTTGCATAGTTGGAAACTTGATTCTCACGGCTGTGACTTCCATGCCCATGGTCGTGAGAATTCTTGTAGGCCCTCCTTTGCTCTTTTTTTTTGCCACCAAATGCCCTAGAACTCAATCCCAGCCCTGTCCACATATTAGGACCTGAAAAATGACAAAGAAAAACAACCTAGTGTAAAAATGGATAAAAGGAAAAGTATTTTCAAGGTAAATGATCAAGAATCAAATGTGTCTAAATTAGCATGCATCAATTACCATCACTTAGGGTTTATAAAGGATTAGGATTATTAGTGAAGGAAAAAAGGGGAAATATTGGAATATAATTATATGTGTTAAACCAAGTTTCTACTGTTTAAGTAAGTAAACAATATTATTCTTTGGATTTTTCCAAAATGCTTGAGTTACTAAAAATTTCCAACACACTTGCACTATATTTGTTTCAAAATACTAGAGTTTGGGCTGGTCCGATTGGCACACCGGTGAACCATAACGTGGTTCACTGAATCATAAAGCGATTAAAGTGGATTGCCCAAATATGAAGCGAACCATTGATTGTTCGCTCAAATTAAAGCAACCCATCAAGTTCGTGTTAGAGACATGCGATTGGTTCAGACGGATAGAGGAGGATCGCTCCAAACAAGCGCGATGATGGCACGTGGCATCGAAAAAGCTCAGCTGAGAGGTGATCAATGTGCTTGAACACTGGTTTGTCCGATAATAGCGCGGCGCTGATGTCTTAGCAATCCACTTCCCATGCATGCTGTCACCATGCATACACTCGTCTAAGTAGTTGCTAGAACCCTATGACCTAAAAATGTAAACAAGGATATAAATAAGTATGTATATCTATCAAATATATTTTTTAGGTAGTTGATGAACAATAAATCATAGAACTAGAGCGTATAATTACTAACGTGATCATCTAAATACCACATAAATCATTGTGTTCTTTCATTGCCATAGATTAGTTTACTCACCATTCTTCAATTACTAAAATGACGATTTTCCCCCCTACATACAAACCCTGAGTGCATCCCTAAAAATCATAATGAAAAGAGAAACTTACCCACACATTGTCTCACACGAATTCTTCTGTTCCACTTCCACTAACTTATCCACAAACTTCAGTACCCTCAAAGATTTCATGATCCTAGTCAAACAAAAAACAATCAAATTATCTTATCCCATTCACATTTAGTGCCATTGGTACTATTTTATTTGGGTTAAAGGTTAAAGACTTGGGTGGCATCCTCTCCTACTCCACTGAAATCTAAAAAGGGGAAACAGCAAACTTAATCGCATCAATTCAATACTACTGCCTCTTCATTGGGCGACCGTCCAATCATGCATCTCCTCCTTAACTCCCTTTTTTTCATTGCATTGATCAAGTAGCTAGGCTACGCATGCATTCAAAGGCCGTAGTCAGGATTTTGAGACCTGGTAAAAATTGTTTTAGTGTATTATCTTAAATAGGTAACAAAAAAATGCATTTTGAAGATGTGTTTTGAAAATTTTAAATTAGCTCAAAATTAAATTAAATTTACTATGATATGTTCAACATAAATGAGTAAACTGCCAAATAAAATTTAATAGCATGTTATTCACTATTTTTCACTTCTAAAAATTAATATTTTTGGAGCTATACCTGTTCATCTGGGTCCTGGAATTGACATAAAATGCTAAAGTTACGAAGGAGAGTGGAACCGCTCATCTAAGTAGAGGGGGCTTCTTCTCTTGAATAACTTTCCAATGCCTTCCTTCTCTATTAAGCGAGTCTGGAACCTTATCGCCCTATCCAGCAGACTGTAGCTTTGTGGAAACTTGTTTGGAAAGGCAAATCAATCCCTCGTAATCTTGTTATCACTTGGCTGGTTGTCAGGGGAAGGATTAATACTAAAGTGAAGATACAAAAATGGGGTTTCACGAGAAGCATGGTCTGTTGTCTGTGTAATGCAGCGGTTGAGGACAAAGACCATATTTATGTGCACTGCTCATACTCGAGGCAAATGTTTGATTCTCTCTTTTGCAGGTTTATGCAGCTACCCTTGCTGCAGAGCTGGGATGATGAGTTAGATATCTTGATTTCAAAATTAAGTGGCATGACAGAGGCTGCTGAAACAGGGAGGATTATCTGGTAGGCGTTGGTGAGTCATATTTGGCGTTAGAGATGTCGTCGTTTGTATGGAGGTGAGACATGAGATCTGTTAGAAACAAGGTTTCTAACGTATTAGGGATTGGGGAAATTAGCTAGATCAATTAGGGATTGATCAGACTAGGGATTGGGATTTGGGAGTTTGAGAACAAAAAGGGGAAGGGAGAGTCTGCTGCTGTCGCAGCTTAGGAAGAGGAGAGGGAGGGAATCGGCGCAGGGAAGAGAGGAGAGAGAGAGGGGTATTAGGTTTAGGTTTTTGATAATTATTTGCTTAATGAAAATAATACCAATAGTACAATTCCACTTCCTCCACTTCCGCTTGCCTTTGGAAACCGCCCAATCGTGCTCCTCCAGCTCGCCAGCTCCTCCTCCTTATAACCTGCAAGACGAAAGGCAGACCGCAGCGAGTCGGGCTCGAAAACCTTAACCGCCGCGGCTATTTCTGGCTTTAGGCCAGCCATGCACAACCCGACTAGGGTCTCCTCCGGCACTCCCTTGCATTGGTTGCCCAGCTTGAAG